TAAGTGGTTCTCAAAGCGTGGCCCAGGACACCCTGGAGAGTCTCCAAGACCCTTTTAGGGTGTCCATGAGGTCACAACTATTTGCGTATAATGCTAAGATATTACTAGCCCTTTTCACTTTCTCTCATGAGTATACAGTGGAGATTTCCAGAGGCCACAGGGCAGGGGATATCACAACAGACCAAATGTAGGAGCAGCCACAAGAATCCAGCTGTCTCCTATTGAACCAGACACTGAAGAGATTTGCCAAAAATATAACAGTGCCACTCCTCTCACTAAATGTTTTGAAATATAGTTACTTTATTTTCTCCTCTCCTCTCCTCTCCTGTTCTATTCGATTTTGTTCTATTATTTTTTTAAGTAGGCTCCATGCCCAATGTGGGGCTTGAACTGACAATCCTAAGACTGGCCAACTGAGCCAGCCGGGTACCCCGAAATATAGCCATTCATTCATTCATTTTGAGAGAGAGAGAGAGGCAAAGTGAAAGAGAGAGAGAATCTTAAGCAGGTTCTGCAATGAGTGAGGAGCCCAACTCGGGGCTTGATCCCATGATCCTGGGGTCAGGACCTGCGCCAACATCAACAGTCAGAAGCTTGACCGACCAAACCACCCAGGCACCCCCAAAGTATAGTTATTTTAACAAAAAACACAGCATGTATACTAAAAAATTATTTTATTTTTTTATTAAAAATATTTGTAATGTTTATTTTTGAAACGGAGACAGAGCACAAGTGGGGGAGGGGCAGAAAGAGAGAGGGAGACGCAGAATCCGAAGCAGGCTGCAGGCTCTGAGCTGTCAGCACAGAGCCCGACGCGGGGCTCGAACCCACGAACCGCGAGATCACGACCTGAGCTGAAGCAGACGCTTCACTGACTGAGCCACCCAGGTCCCCCTAAACAATTATTATTTTTAAACTAATTAATCCATATCTTAAAATTTTTTTCAGTTGTAATCTCAAATGCAGTAAATTTTTTTTTTTAGTGCAGTAACTCCTGATAGACATAATCCACATGAATGAAAACTGTTTGGGGTCCTCAATAACTTTTTAAGCGTGTAAAGAGGTCTTGAAACTGAAAAAATTGGAAACTGCTGATCTCTCCAACCATCTCACCTACATGGGTACTCTCTATCAATCTTTTAGGTTATAGAATTACAGTGGTTATAGGTCAAAAATGTTTCAGTATCCAAAATGATAGATTTCAATCT